GGTGTCCGTCAAGGCTGTCCACTTTCTCCATTTTTGTTTAAGTTCATCGACGTATTGATGGAAATAACATTCTCGTCGACTGAATTCTCGGGTATTGATCTCCTACCAGGAGGTCCACTTATCGACTTAGAATACGCAGATGACATAGTCCTGTTTGGTGAAGACGCTGACAAAATGCAGTCTTCTGGTAGCACTGAGCAACAATGCCAGAATGTTTGGAATGCGCTTCTCTCCCTCTAAATGCAAGTTGTTGCTTCAACACCTGAACTAAGGATAGGGAGTGAAGTAGTCGAACGCGTCGACAACTTCACTTATCTTGGAAATCTGATCAGCCCTAATGGGATGGTATCGGACGAAATCTCAGCACGGATTCGAAAAGCTCGTTTGGCTTTTGCCAACTTACGTCACCTTTGGCGAATGCGAGATATCCATCTATCAATAAAAGGACGAGTATACTGCGCGGCAGTATGTTCTGTCTTACTTTACGGCAGCGAAACATGGACTTTGAGAATAGAAGACGCTCGTAATCTACTAGTATTTGACCACAGATGCCTTAGAAATATTGCTGGCGTCTGTTGGGATCACTGGATAAGTAATAGTGTGGTTAAACGCAGGGCATTAGGGAATGATGGTAAATCAGTTGATGAGGTTGTGAATCTTCATCGACTGAGATGGTTGGGCCACGTGTTACGTATGCCTGAACACCGATTACCACGACGTGCAATGCTAACCGGTGTTGGAGATGGTTGGAAGAGAATTAGGGGCGGCCAAACCAAAACGTGGCATCAGTGCTTGAAGTTACTAACTTCTAGTCTGAGCCATGTTGGTAAATGCAGACTACTTGGTTGGGGTCCACGTGACTTTCGTAACCAATGGTTGGAGACTCTTGGTGAAATGACTCAAAATCGATCACAATGGCGTCTGTGTGTACACTCCCTGTCTTCCCTTAAACTAAGAGATTAAAATCACTTCATATCTTTCTTTCTACTAACTAATTCTTTCTTCCTATACTATATCCTTATTGCAATCTTTCTCTTATATATTACCACCTTTGACCTAACCACTTCTATGAATCCGGTGTTCATCTTGTTGTGCTGATGCGGTATGGCAACCTGAACCGATGCACATATGTGCCTGGTCCTACGTTGTAGCTGACTGACTGACTGCTACGACGGATGGTTAAAAAGCTTCCACTCGACTGGCCTACATATTTAGCACCAATTGATATTACATCAAAGTATAAATGTAGGTAGATGAAAATGCAGAGTAATACTGAATAAACATTTATCCCTTAATTTATGAGTTCTAATGTCTTCTAAACCTTTGTTAAAAGAGTGGTTATCTCCTAAGGAGCTCGCAATTAGCGTAACAGTTGTTATAATTCATTATTTAACATAATATTTGGTTAAGCGTACTGTTGTTTTTCCCTTTTTTTATTCAGATATATAACGCCACTTTAATTTATAGTCGGTTGTCCGGTGTATTATTACTATTAGCTATGCGAATTTCTATAACCTGAATAACATTTTCTATCAAAAACAATACGAGAAGACTAAGCCACTAATTGAAATCTTAGTTGTGAAAATCCATATACATATTTGTATAGTACCCTACCTGTGATCATCCTTGATTCGTTGAACAGGACTGTGTTCTGGGATTGTCTTGTCAGTCAGTCAGTCAGTCAGTAACAACGTAGAACTTAGTACGTACGTACATCAGTTCGAGTTGCCATACCACATTAGCACAGAGATGCAGTGGTCGATTCAAATCCCGTAGTGGTAGAGGTAGCAAGAGTATAAGCAGTAATCGGGAAGATTAGGGTTTGGAGATGTTATTTAACGAGTATAATCCAGTGAAATAAATTTGGAAAGAGGAAAAAAAAGGGACATGAAGAATTCAGATAACTAGAATTTGGGAGAACACAAAGAGTGGATGCACCTGCGCCATTGCAAACGATTTTGAGCCATGTCATTCAGGGTCTCTAACCATCGGTTGCTATCATCTCGCGGTCCCCAACCAGGTAGTCTACACCTGCCAACATGACTCAGTCCACTTGTCAGTGACTTCATGGATTTGTGCCATGTTTTGGTCTGGCCGCCCCTAGCTTTCTTCCAATCTACTCCTATACCACTGAACATCGCACGTCGAGGCAGTCAGTCGTTGGGCATACGTAACACGTGTCCCAGCCATCTCAACTGATGAAGTTTCACTACTTCATCAATTGATTTGCCATTTGTCTTGTGGAAAAAGGGTGTTCCTGAGAAGTTTATTAACTTCTTGATGGCCCTGTGTACAAACACCATACCTCTAACAGCACTCGAGACCACAGTAGCTGTGTAAAAACTTCAGGGAGAGTGAGGACATACAGCCACCTCTCTCTAGAAATAAAACCGAGTACACGTGAATTCATGGTACTGAGGGTAGGATAACACATATCAATGTACAAAGCAGTTATCATTGTGTGCAGACATCACACGTTTTCCGTTATAATCTTCACAAAGTTGGGAAGATACCTTCAGTATAAATAGTGTCCGAAAATATCTAGGGAGTCGGTGCCGATTTGACATTTCTGAATATTTACAATAATGCCGTGTTTTTGTAGTCGTTCATAAACCAGGTCTAGATTTTGGAGATGAGATTTTCTGTTCGTACATGTGATCGAACAGTCATCTACATACGCGTGTATGAAGTTGATGCCTCGAAAGACATGATCGATGAATCTCTGGGAATTTCGCACAAGGTTTCGTTAACCGAGAAGTGTGTGCGAAGATTTATAGACACCGAAGTGGGTGGGTTATGACGGTTTTATGAATGTCATCTGCAGCCATGAGAGTTTGGTTACATGCTTCAAACAAGTCGATTTTCTAAAAATTGGCTGTACCTTTCAAGGTAGCCTTCAAGTCGTGAGTGTGAGGCAACGGGTAACGATCAGGAATGCTTTTTGCATTCAGTCGCCGATAGTCACTAGTTGGACGCCAATCACTAATGTGCTTTTTTGGAGACTATGTGTAAAGATTTCCATGAGATATTTGATGGCCGAATGTTTTCTAAATATATCATATGGTCGAATTCGTTTCTAATCAACCTCAGCTTTTTGGGAGCTAGTCGGTGCGCTTTCGAGAATACAGGTGGTCCTGTAGTCGTAATGTGATATGTAACATTGTTGGTTGAACACAGCAATTTTGGTCGTGTTTGGTACAGTTCGGGGTACTTGTCGAGTATCTGTTGATAGAAAGAGTCGATTAAAATGACTGGGGATAACCTGCAGCCAGAAAAAGAGACTACTTAAACAGACAAATTAGCATTCTCGTCTACTAACCTCCTTTTGCGCGTGTCGATGATTAGATTATGATGTTGTAACAGGTCCATAACAATCACTGGCATAGAAACATCTGCCACAACGAAAATCCAGTGAATGAGTTTGCGTAAACCTGCGTTAAAGTAAAAATTTCTTCTACCATATGTTGAAAACTTCTTCGAGCAGTCGATCGTTAAAATTTGCAGGAAGAACGCTAACTTCTGTGCCTGCGTCAACACCTGAACTAAGGATAGGGAGTGAAGTGGTCGAACGCGAGTAGCATAACCAGACTTCGATATTGTCGGACCAAAATGGCATTAGCAGAAGTAAAGAAGTCGAAAGTCCTAATCTGTCACGTCATGATGAATATAAAATATATCAATGAACGAGTAAAGATATTAAAATATTTTAAAAATATCACAGTATGTGAATATGTAAGTTCTTGTTCAATTTATCTGTCTTTTCTCTTCAAGTAAACTCGCTTTTTCTATGCAAATAATCCCTGTATTCTGTGTGCCGCGCTCCAGCCCTTGTGGTCTGGTGTGTGACGAAATCTCAGCACAGATACAGAAGGCTCGACTAGATTTGCCAACTTGCGTCATTTATGGCGTAGGCGAGATATCCGTCTATCAACCAAAGGACGTGTTTACTGCGCAGCAATTCGTTCCGTCCTACTTTATGGCAGTGAAACATGGCTGGTAAGAGTAGAGGATATTCGTAGGTTACTAGTATTTGACCATAGGTGTCTTCGAAACATTCCTCGTATATCATGGGACCATCGAGTAAGTAATGTAGTTGTTAGGAAACGGGTACTAGTTAAGGATGGCAAATCAATTGATGAAGTAGTGAAACTTCATCAGTTGAGATGGCTGGGACACGTGTTACGTATGCCCAACGACTGACTGCCTCGACGTGCGATGTTCAGTGGTATAGGAGTAGATTGGAAGAAAGCTAGGGGCGGCCTGACAAAAACATGGCACAAGTCCATGAAGTCACTGACAAGTGGTCTGAGTCATGTTGGTAGGCGTAGACTATTTGGTTGGGGACCGCGAGATGATAGCAACCGATGGTTAGAGACCCTGAATGACATGGCTGAAAATCGTTTGCATTGGCACAGGTGCATCCACTCTTTGTGTTCTCCCAAATTCTAATCTTCTGAATTCTTCATGTCCCTTTTTTCCTCTTTCCAAATTTATTTCACTGAATTATACTCTTTAAATAACATCTCCAAACCCTAATCTTCCCGATCACTGCTTACACTTTTGCTACCTCTACCACTACGGGATTTGGATCGACAACTGCATCTCTGTGTTAAGGTGGTGTGGCAACTCGAACTGATGTACGTACGTACGAAGTTCTACGTTGTCACTGACTGACTGACTGCTCCAGTTTTAAACCACATTTTTCCAGGTGTTATAATCTTCGAATGAATTTATAAATACACTCTCAACCCATAAGTGTTTTCATTTTTACCTGGATCGGCATGCCAACCAGCGTATAGGGACCGCATTCATGTTGTTTTTGATCGTGGTTTCAATTTATGAGTTTGGATTTGTTTAAAATACTATTTTTTTCGATATGTTGGTGAATTGTTTTTTTCGAGATATTTTTATAATTATAATAAATCAAATCCTAAATATTAGTCTTTTTAAAGGAAAAATAACCAACTATATTCTCATCTATTTTTATTCTCTTGTTTTAGTTCATAAAACAATGAATGAAAATCCTATTGTCATATGCACACCTACTTCGTGCGCAGCTGTTCCCAATCCTAGCTGCGGCTCTTCGTTTGAAACACCCATTTGTCATTCAGGTATCTCACCTGTCGCTGTTCCAATCGTGTCTGGTTTGTCTTCAAATGTTCTATGTTCTTCTGCTTTATCTATTACTTCATCAGTTTCACCTAACCCGCCTTCCTCCTTGTCGCTGACGTCTTTGCAAACTCCTGTCAATAGCTTGAACTTAAACGTACCTTCGTCTAGTCACAACTCAATAATTCTACCATCATCTGCGTCATTGTTAATTCATTCAATCAGTTCCTCAAACAATTCAACTTCTGGAATTCGTTCGGTCCCTCCAATTACTAGTAGTTCCTTAGCTATAAATGGCTTGGGAAATCCAAACATAACCGTTCCTATGACATGTAAAAATGAGTTTTTTTGTTCTACCATAACTAATCCTACTTTTTCGTATGACTCCGTGCTGCCAATTGAATCATCTACAATTTGTCCAAATCCAAGTTTTTCGACGATCGCTAACCAAACAGTTGAAGTTATTGATCCAACACAAAATTTGTCGTCTTCCATATCTGGGTCTACGCCAGTCACGTTAGCTTTACAGTCTAATATGTTAAATTCCAACCATATGCATTCAGAAAATGTTTCAAGTTTCAATGGAGAATGTGGGATTCGTCCTATAAGCAACCCATCTTTACCACCATGTTTTCCTTTGAATTTAATGCCAATTAGTCCTAATGGTGACTTTCCAGCTGCACAAATTAATTTTCCAGGGTTACCACCGGTTCTTCTTCAAGTCTTACCATTACCAGGTGTTAAGATGGGAGAACATTACACAATCAACGTTCCGACGCAGTTAATTTGGGATGGTATATCCAGCGCGTTAGCCAGTGGAGGGACTGTCAATGGTGGTCCAATAATCTTGTCGATCACGCCTACACCTTTACCGTCACATTCAATGTCTTCTATGCCTACAGTACCCGCCTCCTCTTATACTATAACAAACCAAACATCCACACCTATCTCTTTATGTGGGCCATCTAGTGGGTTTATTAATCAAACTCTTCCTCAGGTTGGAGTTCCCGTTTCAACAGTGATCCCTTATTCTACACTTTCTGTTGGTCCTTTAACTACAACAGTAACTACAACTAGTGTTATCAATACTAAACTTCCAGGAGTTAATATTAGTCCCCTGCTTTCCAATCCTGTCAGTGCTGTTGGGGGAGCCAAACGTATGAGAGCTATCGCTCCCAAGCCATCAAACGTTAGTTCTGTTGCTACTTTGGGGGTAAAACCTACATCTGTTTCTACTACAATATCAAAAAGTGGGACAAAGCGTCATGGTCTAGTTACTGCTATTTCAAGTGTGAATGGAATTGTATCAAACAGCACTTCCTCGCAAAGTAATCATGCTAGCATTCCCAATATTGGAGCAATTACTGGAGTACCAACACCTCCGAAACTGTTGCATTCAGCCTCTAGAAAGGTATCGCTACCCTTAGTTAACTTTAGTTCCTCTTTTGTACGGTCGGGTCGAGGTAGACGTCGCTGTGCTGTTGGACAACAATCTGTTTCTACTACGTTTGTTACTAGTGCACATGCTTCGCCCATTTGTATAACAAACTCTGTTAACTCAGGGATGGGGATCAGCACTGATACCAGTAATGTTTGCTCTTTGCAGACCCCAGTTTCCTTACCATTAAGTAGTCAATCTTCATTATCATCGTTTTACAGCACGCCACCCATTTTGGTACCACCGACTACGAATCCTGGACCAGTTTTACCACCTGGACCCATTCCACCAACATTTCTTTTTGGTAATCCATTGCATAACGCACCATCTATTACAATGCCGAACGGCGTGGCTCCCTTTCTTTTTCAACCACCTCTCCCTATATCTAACAGTTGCTCACAATTTCCGAATTCTGTCTTTAGTCCTGTTACGTGTACTGTCTCCATTTCTCCGTCAACGTCATGCCCGTTAGCGGTTGTTCGGTCTCTTCCATCTGTCAGTTCTGCGAATATATTTGCTGCCAATAATGGACCAACAATGGCTTCTCTCGATCCTGCTACTGGGCTTTTAACGTATTACCCCTCATCATGCATTCCTATGAATAACCCATATCCTCCTACAATATCTTCTAGTGACTCGCCATCAATCAATATATCAACTGTGTGCTCTCAGCCGAATCAGACAATGAGTATTCAGCCTTCTTCACAATCCGGACCGGTCATGTATCCTTTTCAGACGCAACATCTCCTTTCTAACCAAATTGTCCCAACTATTTTCCCAAATATACCTACTGATATAGCTGGTGCAAATACATTTACGGATCATACGGCATTCTTACAATCATTTGCACCTAGTTTGATGGATAGTTCTTGCATATCGTCTAATGTACATATATCTTCAGAATCCACCATCGTCCAGAGTCAAATGGCTTGTCAAAATGCTTTTCTTACGTCAGCGGGTAATTTTCATAGCAATGGTAATAGTGGAAACATTCCCATTTTCCCGTCACTACCCGTTTCATCGATTGCGTTACCCAGTTTGGAAGTTAGCACAAGCATATGCGAAACCAACGGAATTGTAGAGGATGATGCTTGTTTAGCTAAAGATGACCTCATTAGTCTTGCTTGGCATCTAACACAAATGGAGGATGACTTTGAGACTCACGAAAAACAAAATTCAGATGTTCTAATAAACCAGACAGATGATGAGAATAATGGCATGTTCGAAGATTTCCTCCAGGTTTATTCACAAAATGCAACGGCTTTTAACTTCAATACGGATTTGGGTTGCCAGACTCATATTCTAAATCCGTCTTCTGTTAACCCTGATTCTGACGTTTTAGATAAAGATGTGATTCTTTTGGATAGTGAACCAGAGTATAGAACTGATTTCGAAAATCGCGATGATGGTACGCAGTTGTCTTGTCCAAACGAAGAAAGTACAGGAAATGCTGATATTGATGCTTTACTTGCTGCAGCTGCTATGGTTGGTGCTGCGAGTGGTGTTGGAGATGCACAGTCAGCTGTTGCCGTTCCTTTACCTTCCTCTTCTCTTGCATCAGTAACTCACCAAAATACACTTTCCTCAGAATGCGATTCTTCTCATCCGGAAAATAAAGATGATGTCCATGGCGATATCCATGTAACATTCAGTAGTTCTTTGCTACCAGCTCATTCCACTAGTTGTAAACTTTCACCACTTCTTGATCCTATTAATGTTGGCGACTCAGTTAATGGCTTAAAGGAAACAAAGCCCGACGATCTCTTACCAAGTGATTTGTTTGATGATTTTCCCAAAACGGAGGTAAATGGTCAGTTCGCGAATGAAACATCTGATTCAGTTAATGAATTCGATGATGGTTATGAACCCACAAGTTTGGCAGCAGTTCTTGGTTGTAATGCTGAAGATGCTGCGGATTTAGAGTCAGTTTTAGGTCAAGAAGCTCCAGATTTATCAGATGGTGGAGGTGTTTCGGATTCTTTTCTTCATTCCCTTGTTGGTCCTTCACCTACAGTGGATGATTTAAATGTACAGAATAATTCAGTTAATATTTTTGATAATGATTTTCACTCTCCGCATGAATCTAAACAAGAAACCGAAAACGATTTAAGTTTCCATTCAGTCGATGATTTTCCTAGTGATATTGCTTGCGAAATGGTTGGAGATGCAACAAATACATTGCCTGTATCAAGACAAGTTAGATCCTTACTTCGTGATGCCAACGCCATTTCGGTGTCTTCACGCTTTGGATCACCACCGGGAGGAAGCAAAAGTTTCAATCATTTCTTTGAGGCCACTTCGCGACGTCTTAATAGGTCATGTAGGTTCACATCTGATATTGACGACGATTTCATTGGTGTAGATTTTTCTGATGCAGTAAATGAATGTACAACAGCAGAACAGTTTGATGAAGCCCTAATGTTGTTAGGACCCCAACCGAATTCACCCATTAGTCAGTCCGAAATGCACAGTGAGAATACAATTCCTGTTTCGGTTACTGATTTCGTTTCTCACATAGAGGACAAAATGAAACACAACGAAAATGCGACAAAAGATAAAAAACTGTTACGTATTGACTGCACAGATCTTAGAATTGTTGAACCCAATGATATTCAAACAACTCAGCCTGGAAATGCATCCCCACAACATAAGACCGACAGATCTGTAAGAAGTCCAGTTCTAGTTAAAGAATCCGCTCAACAGGAAGAATATATCCCTTCGATGCTATCGTCTCCAGTAAATGAAGTCGAAGAGTGCACAATTGAAAGTAGTTTAAATCACGACATTGCCGACAATACTAAAAGCCATTTGATCGACTCCTTAGGTAGTAGCGATCCAGTTACATTGGTAACTGCGGAGTCTCAACAAACTGCCATTGACGATAACATTAAAACACATACCAGTACCACAATAAACAAAAATGTAGGGTTTTTGTCGCCTGACAAAAAAACTGAGTTAGTCGACTTAATTCCATCTATATTGGGAGAAAAATCAGTATCACCAAATAGCTCAACGTTACCTTTACAAGATAAACTTGATACTCAGAGCTCTATCTCAATGGTAGACACATTTGATAGTTGCCACTACGATTTCTCTAAAATCCCTTCACCAACAAATCCGGTTTACTGTGATCTCACAAGGCGTCCTCAATCTGTTAGTCCGAAGTTTTCATTTGGTGTAGGGGATATTTATTCTGAATTTGGTTCCAACTTACCGCTCCGCCCTCAAAGCTTGCCTAATTTAACTTCGTTTTCACAGTTTGACATAGTTCAAGAGACAGAAAACGTATCAAAATCGTGTGCTTCTAACCCATTTTCATCTTGTGACATTGCCACCTCGACAATATGTTTGTTTAAACCAGATATTTATTTTGACAATAAGGAGCCATCATCAATCTTTTCTTCTGACCAGAATATATCAGTAAATACAGAAGATATGGTATCCAATATTTCTATTCTTGGAGTTCTTGCTTCATCATCTGCCCTAGTGGAGGCAGTTGCAGACTTGGAGGGTGATTCTGATATTTCGCCCATCAAATCAAGCATAGAAGGATTAGCCTCACTTGATCGAATGTTAAAAAGTTGTCAGCGTCGTAGTCAACAAACTTTTGAGTCTACGAAGAATACTTCTAGCGGTTCTGAAAGCGTTATGGTTTCATCTCAAACCTCAAGTGTATCTCAAAGCTCAGCACCAAAAACAACAGGCACATTAGAGACTTCAAATAGTGATATGTGTAATTTTGAGTTTTCGGATTGGAAAAATGTGGATTTTTCCAGTGATTCCAAAATAGTTCACAGTGATGGTATTCCTGCAAGTACTTTACTATCAGTCAGCAGTGGTCACTCTTCTAACAAAAGTCTCAATTTCGGGCAGACGCGATTCAAAAACTCAAATAATGTGCACTCCAAACGTGGGAGACGAAAACGTGCAGGCAATAAGAAACCACATTTATCTTACTTAAAAAGGAATCCAATTAAAACCAGTTGTAAATCAGATCCCTCTGCCCATGAATTAAGTCCTTCTCAGAGTGTTACTCCGACTATAAATGAGTTCCATCGTTCTCAAAACCAACCAAATAAATCTACCATGGATATGACTACCAACGATCTTTTAGAACTGGCTACAAGACGTCCTCATTCCTTTGGGTAAGTACAACTTATTTTAGATTATGTCATTTTTAAACAGTGTTTTTACTCCACCCATGGGATTTCTATAGTTAATTATAGTCAAAGCATGGAGATGATCAAAACAGTATGTTCACATTGATATTTTCAAACCTTAAGTTAAGAAGCGTTAAAATACAATGTTATGTAGACTTGTTTTCCATGTTATATGGGAAACAATGTAAGTTAGAGATTTACCTGCTCGTTTTTAAGTCTTGTGTATAGAGATAAAAAACGCTACCTGAGAATTAGGCATTTGCAGATTTAATCCCATGTATTATTCGTCAAAACTCATTCGTTTGTATTGATACATACTTTATTGGCTGATCGGTTTTAGCATCGACCTGGAATAATAATATCTATAATCCAATATTGGTCCTGAAAATGAAGAGAAAAATGTACCACTCCCACTTAATAAAACCCCAAAATCAGACGATTTATTTATCATAAATTCTATGAAGCCAGTGGTACTACCAAAATTGAGATAATTTTCGAGGATTTATTACTGAATCTTTTGTCTTAAAATCAGTTTCATAGAATTTAAAGCTATATGATGAATTACATTTGAATCCTTATCAGTACCGAAGGTATGTCCGTAATCCATCCATTTCTTCGGAATTATGGGGCTCTCATGCACTGGTAAGATATTAATGCTCCCTAACTCTTGGACTTGAGTTTTCTGAAGCCATTCAGGAACTTCTTTCTTTCTTTTTTATCAAAAACTTTCAGCACGTAAAAATGAGACGTTTTTAAAACTTCGTGCCTTTGTGCTATTAAGTTTGTCTTTTTTTAATAAAATCACAACTTTTAGTTATAATAGTAACCTATTATAACTAGTATAACGTTTATGGTTAGGATTTCTTGCCTCAAAATACTTAACTTAATTTGCATGGTGGGATTGTAGACCTGATGTTTTTTCACCATGCCTCCTTCGTAAGACTTAATTATTTAGAACTGCAGATACCAATCACAGTCTACTTGTCTTTGAAACGTTTATTAGTTTATAATATCTTCTGTTGTAAGTGTAAGAAATTTCAGCATTGTGTTAGCATTCGAAACCAATGTTACCCAATAAACGTTCATTCATGTTGCATGGATATACATTCAGGAGCGTGTCTTATTTTATTTAGGTTATCTTTGGTGAATGGTGAGTTATCAAATGTCCCTAATCCTCCCGTTTCTCCGGAGTTCGAATGTCATCTACCCCCTTTGGTACTAGCTACTGGAGCGTCCTTATTTCCAGAATCATGTTTACATTCTGATGCTTGTTCATCTGATGATTCTTACTCCACGATCCCATCTGCCCGTAAGTTCAAAGTTGAACCAGATGAAACAGCTGTTGTTAAAGCTAGTCATGACGAAGATATTGTCTCATCCTCAACACCTACAGAACTTCATACTCAAGAGTCTCATAAACGCAAAAAACGTGGAAGATACATCACTAGAATAAAGCCTTGTGCCAAAACCCAAGTTGATTTGCCTGCAGTAACAGAAATACATACAAATCACTCGCGTTTCGATTTTGATAAGAATAATTTTATTGGAGTGAATCCTAACTTTTTGAATCCATTCGAGTCACTGGGTGAAGCACCCTTTGAACGTTTCTTACACGACACAAAACTACAAACTTTTGCTGCATTAAAGTCATGTACTGGTGAAACTGTCCACAGCCTAAAGTCTAACTTTAATTCTTGGTGTAAGACAAATCAAAATGTTTTGCTATTTAGTAAACAGTGCAATGAACAGTCTACCTCAGGAGACTGCGATTCAGTCTCTACTCACAATCTGGAATCTGAAAATCATTTCAATGATACCCGGTCTACGACGGAAGAGGTTCCAGAAAGTTCCTCAATCTTGTCGTCGGAAACCAATGGTAACAATCATATTTTTGACGAGCCAGTCTCGACGAGTTGCGAATCAAGCAAAAGTTCTATAGCTTCTCATCAACTGGTTTTCTCCACTCCCGTATCACATGCCTTCAGCGCTCTTCCTACACCTGCTTTGTTCTGTTCTTTATCTAAATCGCATAGTCCTTTCCAAAGTCATATTTTGTCTTTACCAATTACCACAGCAGTTAATCAGTCGAATTCTTTGTGTGATAGTAGCTCAAGTCACTCGCTTGAAAAAGTGTTTCCAACTGTTTCACCTTTACCCGTTAACAGAAATGCAGGGATCGCTGGTAGCTTTGCTGGGGCTGCTGCCTTCCGAGCAACTAGCTTTAGTGCATTAGCAGCTAAAGTTGAAAAGAAAAGTGTTGGAAATGAATTCCACCTTAATAATGCCTCGGAAACTCTGTGGAAAAATGTGACTTTCGCGGACTTGGCAAAGTTCGCCTCTTCAGAATGTAAATCTAAGGAAGTTTCACAAACTCCTAACATCTCTACTTCGCTATCGTGCAACTCCTCTTGGTTCATTGATAAATCTATGCAAATCGATGCTTCTGCTCTGCAACCGAAACCATTATTTCAACCCAACCTTCCACATTTAACATCAAGTAAGAGCGCAGAAAACTCGACTTTGTTTTCAGCCACCATCTTTTCGTCTCCACGAGCTTCACCAAATCACTTTAGTAACCAGCTTCCCTTCAATGATGTTAGTAAATCGTCAAAATCATCACCATCTAAGTCTAATGTTTCTGAAACTCTTAAAAAACGTTTAAAACGCATTTCCTCGTTGCCAAGAAAAACGAATAGGCGTAAACGATCAGCTGGGAAACGTCAGCGACGTCCCTGCACATCCCTTAGGAAGTCTACTACTGAGATCCTCCTGCATAACTCGGACAATTTCTACACTGAAGAAAATTCTGTTACCAATATAGATGATATTTCTAATCACTTTGTTACAACAGTAGATAACGAAACTCAACACCATTATTCTGACTCGGAGAAGCCCTCTGTGGATGAGTGTAATAAATCCGAAAAGATTCTTTCTAGCCCTGTTTGCTTAAAACTTGAAAGTACAAATGCACCTTCAGATTTTAGCGTAATAGGACATTCCACTTCTCCCACAATTATTATGAATAATTCATCGGTAGTTCATAATGCAGGAGCTGTGGTTGTTGATAATGCAGATAAAGATAATGGCAATCACATACCCTCTGCTTCTCCTAGTGTGCAATTAACCAGTGTTAACTGTGAACAGTCAATAAGCGTTCCTGCTGGTATTGAAGATAATTTATCCTGCTCCGGAGTTGTTTCTTCTGTTGATGAAGGTGGGACAGATCCAATTTGTAGGTTTGTGGGTATTCATTCCGAAAATACAGCAAGTAAAAATTCACTCCAATCTGATGTGCTTCAAGATAAAAATGTTGGTTCTTCATTTCCTGATTCACCTTCAGAGAATATCATGACTGACAATGACAAACTACTTTCACATCCCCCAATCAGATTACGTCTTAACCTCAAGCTAGCTGCACTTAAATCTAAGTCAAAGAAAAAGAAGCGTAAGAAACTCCATCTCAACGATCCAGTCATAGAAACTAAATCCAACCCAGTTGTAGAGATGGTAGATGATCCCTCAAATTGTTCGCTGAGTATTCGTCTTGTAAACAAAGTCCCTGTCGTTAAAGAAATCTCCAAATCCAACTCTAATAATTCAAGCAGAAAAAGAAAAAAGAACGAAAAAACAAGCATCCATTGTAAAGGTCATAGAAATCTTACTATTATAATGGATAGTAATCTTCAATGTCGAAACTCCCCGAAGTCCTCACGGTTGCATGAGGCATCATCTGTTACTCATAACGTTCATATCACACAATCCAATCAAGCTTATTCACTATCCAGTGTTCTTCCTAGTGGCACGGTAAAGAATATACCTATGCATCCCTTGTCAACTAAAAAGATTTTCTCAACTGCAAGACAAGAACGTCGAAGTAACTACGCTCAATTGGTAAGTCGACCATGTTCTGTCTTTGTATTATCTCCGTTTTTCGGAAGATGAGATATCTGTATGACTGTATTGTGTCATTCATATTTGCTTTTAAAACCTCATCTTTTATTTTAGATAATGTCAATGTTCATCATAAAACTGAGTAACAAGAATTAGTAGTAGCATATTGCTAGTTATTATATTTTAGTAATATTTTCAAAACGAGGTTATGATTATTTACTCTATCTAACTCAATTCACTTTAATCTTTAGAGTTAACATAGATGCACATTTATCGATTGTAACTCATAAAAGTACAATCAACTTTTGCTATCAACTCTTGAGTCTGTACCAAATAACATCACACGAGTTTATTTTCAATTGAACTGCTATCCTCATAGTTAGGGATTAATTTCGAATGTATGATTCAGTCAGTCAGCTACAACGTAGGACCAGGCACATATATGCATCGGTCCAAGTTGTCATACCTCATTAACACAACAAGATGGACACTGAATTCATAAAACTAGTTAATTCAGAGATGGTAATATATAAAAGAAATATTGCAATAAGGAAGAAACAATTAGTTCGTAGAAAGAAAGATATGAAGCGATTTTAATCTCGTAGTTTAAGGGAAGATAGTATATACACTCTCTCTGTATGATTCAGAGATTTTCATAATACATAGTATGTTTTTACCCCAATAGATTGGTTCAGTTTTGAATCCCTAATTTAATTACTGCATTGATAGCTTTTTCGGATCTGCAATGTTGTGTACTTTAAGTGCTGAAAATGATTTTAAGAGGTTCCGAATTTTCGGAATCAAATATACCACTAAGGAAAAGGTAATGAGAATATTTAACAATTATCCTTTTGACCTCTGACCTGTTCTAGCATATATATATATATATATATATATATATATATATATATATATATATATACATATATATATATATAGTTATTATTGTAATCCAGTTATTTACACTCATCCATGTCAATTGTTTTCACACTATCTCAATGTAAAAATTCTATCACATTTTTGGCTTGTAAGCAACTGATGAGAAACCTCGAAATAATATGAATTCTTACTATTCTGCACCAATATTTGTTCTTGCTTTATTTAAATTATCTCTGAGTTGATAAATTCCTTTGTTTTTTGTCTGATTTGTCGGGTACCCTCATAAACTATAACATAACGAGTATTACTCCAAGCTATAGTACACAAACATTTAAGCATTTACTTGATGGCATTTATACTGGACATTCAAACTTGATAAAGGTTTCCTTTAATATTATGCAGTTAGATAAATTACACAATTTCAACTATTCTCATTATATAATTTGAGTGATGTTTCTGATTCATTTGTAGGCACGGCCTTGGCGTGCTAATCTCTCAACTTCCCCTCGCAAGCGAAACACTACCAGTTTTCGATCAGTATCTGCTCGTCGGCATGTTACTAATGTAGCGCGACCCCGTAGCTATTTAATTAGTGCTTATAGTGATGCATCACTAGCTGACAGTAAGCAGCTGAATGTTTCATGTGCTCGATCAATAATTCCAGAAAACGTATTTAGTAAAAAAGCCTCAAACGATGATGTTGATAATTGTGATAATAGTCAATCCTATTCCATCACGAATCTTACTGGTGTACATAAGGAGATTCCTAAAACGGAGCGTCCAGAATCTCACCCTTTGCGTCTAGTTATTCGTTTGGGTAAGCCTGTGAATGGATCGAAGGATGAACTTGTTTGTCAATCTGTAGTTTCTCCATTAAATGTCCAAGTACCTTCTGATATGTCTTCTAATTCTTCTCAAGCTTCAAATGACGTAGATCATCTAGATGAAAATACAAATCTTTCTATATTACCAGGGGAGTTTAATGTTAAAAACGACAGTTCTGTTCAGGAATTAACTGGGTTTTGTGTTGCAAGCGAGGCAGAAACTTTTATGGATCCTAATCAGTTTCAAATTCATAGAATCCTGAACCGAGCTCTTCCAATGAGTTCTGGGCTTGTTGGTCTGTACATACCGTCACCTAGCGAAGATGACGATAATGGAGATGGTTGTGGTATGATTGAGAAAGTGTTTGATTCTGAACATCGATTACGAATGACAGATCAATCATTTCATTTTTCTCAAGTTTGTCATGAAAACGCAACTCCTGTTGCTCCTCAAATTGGATGTACTGCTGGTTTGTCAAGCAGAAAGAAGATAAAGCCTTTTAAAGGTCACAGACGTAACAAAAGCGATATTAAAAGTACTCGATACCGATGTGCAAGACTTAAAAATACTTTGACCGATGAACGCAACTTGGATCATTCATCAAGATTGCGTGCTCAATGCATAAAGAGTTTTGAAAAGCATAATGTTTTAGACATCAACACTGATCTTGACTTCCTTCATGGTCAACCTCTAACATGTGCCTAGCAGTTTAATTATTCATTCAACAAACGTTTCAAAATCCAACTTTACTGTGATCAAATCTGTAATTTTGTCAAATTCACTCATTCCTCCCCTGAACCAACGAATCCTGCATAAGTTACAAAATGTAAATCTGGAGGCAAATCAGAACCTACTCAAATAAATTTCTTATGGTGCGAAATATATTTTTCGAGGTAAGATCATCGATATATTTACTACAATACATAGTTTTATTAATAGGTAGATTGATTGTATTTAGGAACAACAACAGATATAATAATTTGCTTTTCGCTGAAATTAATAGTTTTATGATGAAATCGATGGACATTCGAACATCAGTTTCTGTTGACAGACTCGACTCACATTGTCTGATGTAAATTAGCTCATGCAAACTAAAAGTCATTTTGTTGAAATCATGAAACGATCTAAGTTATACATACAAAACGTTTCGTCATTGTATGGGATTCCCTAGCAGTGTGCTCTCACGAATTCTCACTTGGGATTGGAGCCAAGGACTTTTTTTGAGATAACGCTTGATTTATAAACCATTAAACCGGCATCCAACAATCTCCACAAACCCAAATTAAGAATCACTATGTGCTCAGTAATGACTGGCTTCGAGAGAAAATCTTCAGAATTGTTGTAAGAAGCTATGCTCAGATAACTGCCTCTTTCTTGCAAATACTAACTTTAGGCATAAGGAAAAACATCTTTTAACATGGAGACCCTCTAATTCGTCCCAACGTTGGACTCAAATAGATCACGTCGCTATCAGCCACCGATGGAGGGGCTCAACAGAAGACTGTCGCTCATTCTGGAGCACATGCTTAGACTCAGATCATGTTCTAGTACGAGCGCGTATCTGTCTGCATCTTACTGGACGTAGGAAAGATACTGCAAGTAAACCTCTTAGGCCCTACTTAATTATAGTCAAGCTAAGAGTATATCTCAGGAACAACTAGGAAAACAGTTAGGCAGCCATGTATGTGATACCCACTCCGAGGCAGCATGGAATGATATCCGAAAAGCTGTGGAAACAGCAGTGATATCTGCTAGTGAGGTAAACCACAAGGTTAGGGAGCAACACTGGATCCCAGCAGCATCTATCGCACTGATAGATGCTCGGAAACTCATTCCACCTGGCTCTAAACATAGTGAAGAGCGGAGTCAGCTTAAGCGCAAACTGACAAGAAGTCTACGCAATGATCGTGAACAGTGGTGGGTAGCGAAAGCAAGAGAGATGGAGAAGGCAGCGGCAATAGGTAATAGCAGACAATTGTTCAAACTTGTTAAGGAAACCGGAATTAGGAAACCGACTGTTAGCGAAACACTCTCAGAGAAAGATGGACATATTATACACTCTCAATCCAGGAGATTGGATTGATGGGCAGAACACTTCAGGGATCATTTCAACTGGCCTTCAGCCACACTTCGGTTTCCCACGATCCCCAGTCAACCTGAATGGCAAGTTAATGTAGGTCCTCCGTCTCTTTACGATGTTGAAAAAGCCATAGTAAATGTAAAGCGAGGGAGAGCAGCAGGCCCTAACAGGTTTACCCCTGACATTTTTAAGCATGATGGTCCAGAATTACCAGCGAGATTGACTGAGATCTTAGGTAGAATTTGGGAACTGAACGTAATTCCATCTGACTGGTCTCAATCACTGATTGTGCCAGTCTATAAGAAAGGACAAAAGTTCTTGTTACAGTCACAAAGGAATCTGTTTGACTAATATTAGTGTCTAAAATATTAGCTTCAATAATACTTGAACGCCTAACTAAAGCTCGTGAAGAGGAGACTAGAGAAAATCAGGCTGGTTTTCGACCTGGACGTGGTTGTATAGACCACATATTCACACTACGTCAGGTTCTAGAACACTGACACACGTTCAGACGCCCCACAATCGTAGTATTTCTCGACCTTAAGGCAGCATCTGACTCTGATCGTGAGGTTTTATGGCAGTGTTTGTCACTGAAGGGAGTACCAAAGAAGTACATTAACCTTACACAGGCTCTCTACTCGAACACAACTGGTTCGAATTTGTCATTGACGTACTTTTAGAGATAACACTGTCCTTATCTAAATTTCCAGGGGTTGAACTTCTACCGGGAGGTTCACTTGTCGACTTAGAATATGCTGATGACATAGTTTTATTTGGCGAAGACGCTGACAAAATGCAGAGTCTTCTGACCACTCTAAGCAACAATGGAGGCATGTTCGGATGCGATTCTCCCCCTCGAAATGCAAAATGTTGCTTCAGGATTGGGTTGCATCGACACCCAAACTAATGAAAGGGAACGAAGTAATTGAGCGTGTCGACCGCTTCACTTATCTTGGAAGTCTCATCAGCCCTTGTGGTCTGGTGTGTGACGAAATCTCAGCACGGATACAGAAGGCTCGACTAGCTTTTACCAACTTGCGTCATTTATGGCGTAGGCGAGATATCCGTCTATCAACCAAAGGACGTGTTTACTGCGCAGCAATTCGTTCCGTCCTACTTTATGGCAGTGAAACATGGCTGGTAAGAGTAGAGGATATTCGTAGGTTACTAGTATTTGACCATAGGTGTCTTCGAAACATTCCTCGTATATCATGGGACCATCGAGTAAGTAATGTAGTTGTTAGGAAACGGGTACTAGTTAAGGATGGCAAATCAATTGATGAAGTAGTGAAACTTCATCAGTTGAGATGGCTGGGACACGTGTTACGTATGCCCAACGACTGACTGCCTCGACGTGCGATGTTCAGTGGTATAGGAGTAGATTGGAAGAAAGCTAGGGGCGGCCTGACAAAAACATGGCACAAGTCCATGAAGTCACTGACAAGTGGTCTGAGTCATGTTGGTAGGCGTAGACTATTTGGTTGGGGACCGCGAGATGATAGCAACCGATGGTTAGAGACCCTGAATGACATGGCTGAAAATCGTTTGCATTGGCACAGGTGCATCCACTCTTTGTGTTCTCCCAAATTCTAATCTTCTGAATTCTTCATGTCCCTTTTTTCCTCTTTCCAAATTTATTTCACTGAATTATACTCTTTAAATAACATCTCCAAACCCTAATCTTCCCGATCACTGCTTACACTTTTGCTACCTCTACCACTACGGGATTTGGATCGACAACTGCATCTCTGTGTTAAGGTGGTGTGGCAACTCGAACTGATGTACGTACGTACGAAGTTCTACGTTGTCACTGACTGACTGACTGTAAGGAGCCGTGACCATTGTAGTTAATCCATGGAGGGTGTGAAACAACTGCCCACCAAAAACAACGGAAGGTGATTGCTCAATTTTGTGGATTGATCGAGTCTAGACATTAACACCGTTGGATGTTTGCTCAGCAGTTTAGGGGTGATGTGTTCGTGCACGAGACAGAACGTCATAGGTCCGATTCTCACTGACTGACGATTCCATTTGGTGCGGGATCGTGGATGCGCATTTCTGAGGAGTCCCATACTAGTGTGAAACAGTCGTTCAGTGCTTCTAGCTTTTTAATGGCTATCTAACTTTGATCAGTTCATTATTTCAATGGGATTCAATAATCAACTATATACTGATTGTTATTTTGATTAAATTTTGTGAAAACAATTGATCTACTTGCAATGTGAATAAGTAGTTAATAAGTTATTACTTAATGTCGATTTTAAATAAACTCAAGTTCAATCTTATACTTCAATACATACATCCATTTGTAAAGGCTGACTTCTGGGTTTTTGCGAAATTATAGTATATAATCTCAAATAGTTGGGATGTTCAGATATTTGTGTTCATTGCAGAATATTTTGGGTTTTGTATATGTCATTAAAAGCCACTGTCGATTTGACTTTGTAAGGTTTCGTGTGCAAAGTTTTGGACCTAGTTATTCAAGTATATACTTGGAAAATCTGGCTACCTGAAGCATAGAATGTTCAAAAGATATCTGTGTTTATTTACCATTGTTTTCTATTGATTACATCTACTTATTTCCAACACCATGTATTATTGAAACTGGGTGTTCATTTTAACGTGGTTGGAGTAATGACTCAATAGTTGTTAATATCTCGAAGAAGTGACGTCTGAATTTTGGAGTGAGAAGTACCTACCTACATTGAGATTATGTAGAAAAAATCAAAAGTTAGTTACGTTACGTTGGTTCATGGAACCCAGAATATTTGTGCAGTACAACGTCGGATCACCACATCATGAACGAAGTATTAAAAGCACCACAAGTCAGTACGTTGATCCTCTACAACTAAAACTAGTGACGATTCTACTGCGATTTTCACTTGTGTCGTTTATAGACAGTAAAATGCATCTTCAAAATGAATAAAATTCCGATGGTCCTTTAACCGGAACTGTATTTTTTTCAAATGGACCCCACATCTTTTTTCTTAGACGATTTCTCAGTTTATATATCTTAACTTTATCAACGGTTTCACTCATGTGAATGACGTCTTTTTATCTTTCTGTAACAATCCTTTCTTCACTATATCATTATGCATAGATCAAAAATAGTTCAGTTCACAGAGGTTTGTACCCCATAAAAGACTTTTCTATAAGCAGATACAACTTATTATGATTCATTTAGCTAACAATCTATCATAATCTGATTAAATAAAACTGATTTACTGTAAATATAGAACTAAGTTACAATGAAAAATGCAGTATCAGACAAGTAACCGTTATAATATTCCAATCAAACACATGCCTCAACATTAACTGTATTACATTTTCTTGTGTAATTTACATTTTTAAAAGTCAAATCACCGCCAAGCTTTGTTAATTATTACTGTCTGGTTAGATAAATAAAGAAATATTGATTTTAAAGAAGTATTGATTGAATTCTCCATAGAATTTGACCTTAGGACATGTTTATTTAATGTTGTTGTTCACTCGGTTATAATGTTGATAAATAACGTAATTACAATATATATTTGTCTAATAAAGATCATGTGAATGACCAAGGTTTATTTATATGAAAGTATTTGTCAAATAATTTATTCGAAGTGATTAGTCAGTATCATTTGATAAACTAATCATGAATATTTTGGATGGTTTTTTTTTTGAGGATCTTCAATTTTGTTAAGCCATTACTAAGTAACTGGCAAAAGTGAATAAAAAGTATTTTTGTCTAACTATTATCGAACATTATGTAAAAAAAGATATCCTACATCATCAAGCAGAAACGTGACTACCGATTTTTGTCGGGAGTGCATTTTGACTGATATCAAAGAATAGTGTTCAACAATCTAGTTCCTCTTCATTTTTGGGTTATAATTCAGGTTTATTGATTATTACTAGATTATATTTAGATGAGAATAGCTTTTTATCGTTTCCATTAGTTATTTAGACACATGGTGACGATATTCGTGAATTCGCTAAACACTGATTTATTCCCGCGACTTTCCATGAGGCTTCCAAAAAACCATTCGTTTTTCGATTATACATCTTTCTCAACGAACTGTATTCTAGCATAGAACATTAAAACCAAACACGTCGCAATGATATTCGCATTCAATATATTATAGATGTTGAGATACGAAATGTAGGATACAGTAAGAAAGAATTAGAGAATACAAGTAGAAAGTTCTATTCTAATTTAGAAGACAAATATTTTATAACCAGACTAAGCAGATTTAGGACTGCTTAGTGATACATAATAACACAAAATTGAACCAAATTGTAATACTCTTTTTTCCGGATAGGAGAATTTACAACAATGCATAAAAGAGTTAATTTTCACCAAGTAAGAGACTAGGTAACAACAAGTCAAGTTATTTTAAGTTGATAAATTAGGCTATTGGAAAGAGAGGATCCTTAATCATTTTTAATGTTACTGATACTTGTTACAGCTTAATACATGTAAACGTTAATTTAACACAGTGAAACGAAGAACTGCATCATTAGTAAAATTGCATAATTAAATTTGTACACAAAATCAACACGTATAGCAAAGTTTAGTGTAAGGTATTTTAGTACTGAGACCAAAATGACTCAATTGTGTAAATATACATGTGGTACATTCCTGACTTGTTAAAACATAACGACCGATATCACGTCTCCCAAGTACTTTACTGGCGATTGAATTCTAGGAATAAATTTGCATTGTATTTCACTGGTCCCAGTTATTGGATATCACGTACACTATATGAAAATGCTAGGAAGTTGGAAGTAGTTGGCAGGACTCTGAAGGTGGGTTATTTGGATTCAAATCGCACAGGGAGAATCGTCACCCCCAAGATTGCAAGTGGACTTCAGTGACGAATGCCAACTAGCATAAAACCTAGATCGAATTCTCCTGCCAATTATCCCCAACTGCCTAACATGCAAATATGTGTCGTAATGATCCAGCACTTCACATTAACTGGATTTAAGATGTAATAAAGTTACTAGAAGAATCAACCGTGCTGTCTATTCTGCGAAGTGTCTAAGCTGATATCTCCATTTTGAGTGTTTACAAATCTATTATGTGTCAAGTCATCTGAATTAGATAAATATGTTTTTAAGAATTTGAAATTACAAAACAATTTTCTAATAGTAGTCCATTACCCATCGACTTTGTCGTGTCAAATATAGCAATCCTTTTTAAACAAATCATCGGATGCTCGCAAGGAAGGTACAATAGTGTATAGTCACTTAAAAAATCCCATGACCTGGGGATTGGTATTTTCAATATTTTTCTTAATCTAATATTAAACATTAAATTATTCGTCTTTGTTCGACTACTTAGTCTGTTTATTCTTTTAATCTGATGTGATTTATGTAACGTTTGCCATACGTACGTAGTGAAATGATACATGACGCTTGTTTATATCATAAGAAAATCCTTGTATACATAAATATTTCACCTTTGATTTGTATTGCGCCAAAAACTCAACTCATCGAAACTAATAAAAATATTCATAATTTTTATTCAATTTAGTTTGTCGAAATTAAGTAATGAAATCATTGTTATCATCTTTTTATTCAGACAATAATTTGTCAGATGAATTTAATGACAATAAATCATATAGTTCTGTTGTTATTATGAATGCATCTTGACGTCAATGTTGTTTAGATTTGACAATTGAAAACATTTCAAATCATATATATATACCTTGCCAAACAAAAATCGCTGAATCATCTAATATAAAATCAAATGAATATTCTATGAGATCCACGTAATATATTATAGATATCTCAGCTGCTAAAAATAAATTCCAACAGCTTATCGATTATTTTGCTTATATCATACAGTAATATACTAAATTAAGATATATCTACTTATCGATACGATCAGATATTCTTTAGTTTCTCATTATTCTTTTTACCTGTGTGAAAGTCATCAGTAGATGGAAAAGTTGAGTAGAAAAATTGCATTTTTGGCAATTATTGGCTTAATGTACAATATTTAGTACATACCATATTTTTCATTTGTAATTTTATTGATGCTAATAGTATGTATCTAGAATTTCCTAAGTTTTATTTAGAAGAAAGTATTCTGAATGCACAGTTCAGATTTAATCGTGAGATATTTCTGTACGTGGGTCCTTTACAGTTAGATTTTCTATAACTGACATCAAAACTAGCAACTCAAATACGACAATTACTGAAATTTTTGTATAGAAAGTGTGTTAGTAACACATTTATAGTGTGTGATGAACAATCTGGTGTCCAATATATTCTACAGTCTTTTAATATCTCCATTCCACCAATTAAAAATAAGAATGTGAATAAAAACTTCTTGCATTTAATGTCCTATTTACTAAAAGAAATGATGGATCAATACAAAGGCACATGTATAATCTACTTGGTAAGAACAACTGAAAAATTATCATAGTTGATTTCCAATATCTACAAAACGAGATCTCATCCATTCTCTATGCTGTCGATATCGTAAAATTTGCTCATTAGACAACTTATTCCCTCTAGTATCTATCATCCGAAAAAAATAACGTCTGGATTTCTCAAGAGAATTTTGGAGGAGAAATAGACTTCACAAATTTTAAATACAGTCGACTAGAAATTCCTATAGTTTAATCTCCAATTTAGGGAAGATAGTACCATTTGTATAATGTTTAACCGTCTGGAAAGAAATCTCTCTATTAACTACTGAAATTATACTCATATGATTCTAATGTGAAAGATAAGTTGCTACAGCTGACCAATATGTGTGTATACCAGTCTACCTGCTACGCATTTCGATGAGAACGCTGTCGAAATTGGCAGCACCTAGCAGTATAGCTTAAGTAAGAACAGCACAAGTTAATTACGTTATTTACTCTGTGTCATGTACTAGATTCGAAATATTTAACTCCCTTGACATCAACTACAGAAGTCCGGCCGAGGATCCCAAAGTTCACGTTCAAGCCTACTTTAAATTATAGGAGCTTTAACTGCCCTGAATTGAAAACGCGAGTTTTGCAAACAAAAACACATTTTTATATCCATCTCATTACCATAGCCCTTGTTTATAGTTTTATTTAGTATATTTGTTCTTTTTCTTTCCTTTAGATTTTTCTTTCCCGAATTTTAAAGAATAACTCCATTTCATTATTCATACAAACGTCGTTACACCTCAGATCTCGTGATTACCGTTCACACTTGATTTCAAATTAACGATGGACAGATCTCTTGTTTAACCTATTGATTTATGTTTCGCATGTTCTGTAAATTCCCCCCTGTAATAACTTGTTCACTTGATGATCATGTAGACAAATATGCACATCACAACTGACTGGATTTTAGCAGACAAAGTTATTCATTGGACCGTAATTTATCATTCATATATATATATATATATATATATATATATATATGGTTGTACAGCCTTGAAAATGAACTCGCTGAAAAAATTATTTCACTAAATACATTTTTTATGACTTATTGTGTAAATTTACATTACAAACAGTTTAGATTCATAAGTATTATTAATGAATAAACATGTCGATAATAAACACCTATGATAAATTATTTTCACTGATGTTATCAACACCGAAGCGGTCGCCGTTCTCAGATAAATCGCTTGACACCATAGTTAGTTTGATATATTTCAACGAATTACTTTGTTTACAGTTGATCTGACTATTCATGTCACATCAAAGTTAACCTTAGAAATTCTTGGGTTACATGCTGTTATCGGCAATAGATCACGGAATCTGCTGGCATTGTTAGCAAACGGTCGAAATTTGCCAGTGAACCTCGTTGTTAGGATTTCAATTTTAATACATTTACACATACTGAACATCTTCAATGAAGACTTCTTAAGTGACCCATCATCATAAGTAATCGCCTGGTACTTGATACATTCGAGCATCAAAAAGTGGAAAATATCTTATACTGCTGATCATTCGCATTCAACGCACCTAAGAATTTTGAAAATATAGCTGTTCAAGAATTTACTTTCTTGATGATAATTGGCTTTATTCTAGCTATGTACTCAATCGTCAGACAATATGGAAACGATAATATGCGTTTATTACTTCATAACCACACTACATCTTGCTTTGCTTATGTATTGAGTCAATAAAAGAAAATAATATGTAAACATATTCCGTATTAGGACTAGGATGTGAAGAGTACAGAAGCTCCGTGTGTGGATAAACATATGTTAAGTAAAAAGCTCAAATAATAAAAAATATGGCAGTGAATAGGAAATCAAAACATAAAGCTTAGACACAATCATCCAGTCACTACAGGTATACACAATACAACTTGTTACATAACTAGTAAGTTTTACTCCGGGTTTTTTCATAAAATTTACAATACACAGCTTATATGTACACAGTGCATGATACATGAAAGATAGACAAATGGAAAATTAATACCAAAGTATTGGGTGAATCTATATCTCTAATAACATAATGAATAAATATATAAAGTCACAAATACACATGCAAAACATGAATTGTGTGACAAGAGCTATTTCATTAAAAGTTCAATAGAAACACGATATCTATTATTTTATTAGTGAATGTGAATATGTATTCACAATTTCCAAGTCAATGATAATTAGATATCAAAAAAGTAAAATGCTGTATTTAGAAAGAGGACAGTTTTTGTTTGGACAAAACAGAGAAGCGTAGAAATAAGAGCAGGGAAAAATCACCATGATGAGAGAAACAAAGGAATGGTCAACACTATTGTATTGTGAATGAAATCAAGTTCAACCTTTACAGTGACAGTTTATGTAGGATGGAATATATTTAGATTCTTTGACTGAGTACATAGTTGCTTTTTACATAGAAGAAACATGTCACAAACCAATAAAAACTATCTGTGAAACAATGCAAAAATAACGAAAAAAGCAATGAAGTTAAATGACAAAAATTAGATTTATTATTATATCGCGAAAGACTATGAATAAATAAGGTCCAATGACGATGGTGTATGTTCTCTTGTGGGTTTTCATATCTGTCTACATATTTGCTTTGCATTCATCCCATAATGTGAAAAAATAAAATTTGAGAGAACAACGGATGAGGTGTGGGGATATAATTACATATTGTTGATAAAAAAGAATTTCTAGTGATTTTGTGCTAATTGATTACTTTTTGTTACAAATATTGTGAACAAATAAAATACAATCAATTTATCTCATCATTATTATTTCTTTAGAAAGGAATAGGTATATATATATATGTTAGGTACTATTTCACTATCAATAATCATGGTAAATCATCGCCATCTGTAATATTCCTCTCATGTATGAGTTGTGGTTGGTGTTGTGAAATCAAAGCTTGCTTTATTTCTTCTAAACAGGCTGGTGGACTGCAGATCCCATATTTTCGTCTAGCTAAAACACGATGTTGCGGTCTGCCACCAACAATAGCATTACCAGTACCACCACTGACAATTCTTAGTTCATCCTCTACAGGCAAATAAGACTGAAGCTGTAAAAATACAAAATGAATAGAAGCATGATATCTGATTTAAACAATTAGAAATTGGACTAACATGACATATGTTAAGAAAAATTCAGTTACATGTATTTCAAGAGACTTATGAAAGACGAGAATAATTGGATGGTCGTGTTTCGAACCGATCCAGTTATTTAAAATATGCTATTTACAAGTATATGCAATATTTAATCCTGAAGAAATTTACATCTAGTGAAATACAAACAGTTGTCTTTTGTAATTAATTAGCAGACATCCTAATGTGATCTATCCAATGGAAGGTAAGAGTGAAGAAAAATTTATTGTGTTGTGTATACTAACAATCTTTTTGCCACTGACCAACTTTCATTAAATATGGATTTGTCTATGATATAATAGGATAAAAAGACATTATTTAGATCAATAATTTCATTATCAGTACATTACGAACTTCAATCTGGGAGACAGGTGTAAACTTTTGTTCAGTGTGACAATTGGTTCCCTACATTAATTCACGTGAACTATAGTCAATGTGTGTTTTCACAATAACTATATATTTGCCTCTATGATATTATGTGTAAAAATTAGTGCACAAATGATTGTACTTTAGTCTAATGGGGATGTGATTTCAGGATTTATTTGAAGACGTGTTTTTGGAGGGCTACTAAGTCCTTATTTCATCAGTTTTTCCTATTTCCAAGTATAAACAGTAAGTCTACGGACCCAAAAGAGTCGAGTGACGACATACCCAGATATAACATTGGCGACCAATCTCTAGACATAATAGTTTATTATCGCCGTTATGATGCATAAGTTATGACTTCCCCTATCCAATACCTTCGTATAAATTTACTGACCCTGATGACTACTTAGTTTCAAGAAGAACACGATTCAAGTAGTATAGAGATCCGATTGAAATTGCATAAAGCGGAAATTATCATTCGACTAGTTTAATTGCCTTTAGTCTTTGATAGCTTAAATCAACCCAACAGAATTAATGTGAGGCAGTTTGCAGAAATTAACCTGCAGTACAAGCCGACGTTTTATGATAAACTTATGGGATACGTAGTAGTATTATTCCTATGACATCTTTTAACATATACCTCCTTTCTCCACCACTCATGAATTATATTATTCATATATTTACAAAACTAACGGCTGTTTTAATTTCCTTTCATCTACTTTAAACACTAAAACACAAGACAAACATGCATGGACATTAAACATCAACTGAACTATTTCTGAATGCAAAGGTTCGGCAACGCGTGTTTGAGCACAGCGACGATAATCCAGTTGGTGTGAGCATTTTGAAACATTGACTTCGGTGGCTTAGACAGTTACTAGGAATGTCGTCACAACGAATCTCACATTGTGAATCACATGCCAACGCTGATTGCAATCCTAGAGATGGTGCAACAAAGTGGCTTGAGAGGTTATCAGCGATAGCTCAGAAAAGAAGTCGGTGGAGGTCCTGCTGTGAATTTCTTTTACTTCCCTCGTGAAAGTGGAATGATCCTTTTTGGTTGTATTTTTCTTAACTGAACTGCTTCCCATATTGTTATTTTCGTCGGTCTTATCCACTACTTTTGATTGATCTTTGTTCTTTTTTATGCTCACCTTCCTTTCTCTATCTCTTAACAACCACATATTTATTGTGTGGCGCATGTATATTTGGTGCCCCTTTTTACAAATTTTTATGCTTTCAAATAAATTTCTGAACTGTTAACTCTTCATTTGAATTTTTGATTTTCCATTCCATATTCATTACACTCAAGTTTATTTTACACAACATTTTATCGGATGATTTGTGTCATCGACAAGAATTTATCGAATATCATTAGTTTTCAAGTTGGCATTTTATCAATAACTATATGTCATCATAACAGACTATAATTGTTCATCGTGTTGAATAGATATTAGAATCTTAATGTAGTTGTTATAGAACATAGCTTTTTTACTTTTGTATTCAAATGAGATGATAAAATATTGTCATTTTCAATATAGGAAAAAAGTAAAACACTCGCTAATAACTAATGACGAATGAGTTATCAAGACTTACTATAACACGATCTGAAGCAGAGTTATTAACATATGTGGACTGTAAAGCAACACCATAGGCTGAATCAACAGTTAAATTATCACTTTCTGTTTTATCGATTATTTGCGAAACATTGTCCTTATGATCACTGTTATCGATTGAGGTATCGGCAAAGTAGTTGATATTATTTGTAGATTCATCTAATTGTTCCATAGATGAAGAGCAACTAGATAAAGGAAGGTCCATATTCATTGAGTTTATGGAGGACAGTGGGAAAACTGGAGGTATACTTGTAGGTATAGTTGAATAGTTTGGTTGTGGTACGGAAATCGACGATGATAATGGTTGGGGTGATGGAGTAGAATTCGGCATCATAACAGAATCAGGAGTGGTATTGAAACTTTTATGCTCAGGAGCCATAATTGAATAACATGATGTTGTTGGATGGTCACAATTAGGTATAATTATTCCAGAATCTGTAATAGGTGTAGTCGATGAATCAATGTTTAGATTATGCAAACGTAATTTCTCGCCCAATAAGAGGTAAGTAGCCGTCAGATGATCGTAAGCACAACGTAGAAGTGACTGTAAAACACAAGAATAAAAATAAACAATGGAAAAGAAGGAAATTAACAGAAGGTATGCTTTAATGAGTCCTTCAGTTGCTCTGTTTAATTATGAAACGTAAATTGATAACATAACCCTAATAAATAGAGCTTTCCGAAGTCATACTATAAGTTGGTATGGAGAGTCAATACATTACCATATTGTTTGTTTCTGATAAAATATGACATTAAAAAAGATAGTGGGGGATCTTAAAGTGAAGAAATAAAGGAAAGGAAATTCATATCAGTAGTTGATAAGAATAGTAGTCACTAATAGTTACAATTCAATTAGGATTTTCATTTAAAACAATTAGTCTATTTGCCAAATTTGGATACTGTGATAAGAATACGAAAATCACCAAAACTGTGTGATGAATAATGAAATCAAATTACTCAATAAGAGTAGATGATAAACGTTCATTATCCTCTGTTGCTAAACACATAGTTGAAACA